GATCCTGCCGCCCCGCACGGGGTCTGCCTTGGCGCTGGGCTGCCGTGCCCCGGCCCTGGCAAGGACGGAGATTCCCCTTTGGGAGGCAGGGCCAGCTTCCCCGCAACTCAGCACACAGACACGGGCAGATGCCCGCAGAGGAGACGGCTGCTTCTCCTGGGGTTTGCCGACCGCTCTCCTTTCTGCCCAGTTCAACCAGGGCAGACTACAAAGTCCCCAGTGCCATGCGATGGGGCACACCACAGCAGCACGTTAAACTGCCAAGCCCCAGACCAGACGCTTCAGCTCACAAGGGCAGCGAACTCCCCGATTTCACCTACTTCACGCCCAAAAGCGATCGACCAAAGCAGTACAAACGCAGCTTTCCCCGGGGTCTGTACGCAGAGGCTGAGGGCAGTTCACCAAATCACCCCAGCTTCACACCCAACCTCCCATCGCTCCAAGCAGCAGCAGAGCTGATCCGTAACTCTGGACAGATGCGAGCGGCCAGAGGGAAATGCCACTTCCAGAAAACCCAGGCTGAGATCTGGGAGAGCTTAATCAACGGGACAGGGAATAGAAGTCACTTTGTATCAGAACAGAAACAACCCAAAAAGCATCCCCGAGAAGGAAACCCCAGAACAGCTAGGAGAGGATGATTTACATCAAAAAAACCTAAACTCGACCCGTAGAACACCCTTCTCTGGTGAAATTCAGGTAAGAAGAAGTGGGAAGCCGAGCCAGAAATCCCTTCAGCTCCTGAGAGACAGGAGCTCCGCTCCAAGCCTGGCGCTGGCTGTACTCAGAAGCCAATCCAGGATTTTTTTGGAACAAGCGAGAGAGCTCAAACAGAAAGCCAACCAGCCACCTACAAAGCTGCTGCCAAAACCACACACTCTCTCTCCCTGTTCACGCCTTCTGGCCCAGCAGCCAGGGGTCAAACAGCAAACAAGACAGCTGCCTCATTTCTTCCCAGTCCCCTGAAGTCACGCCAGCTGCTTTGCTCCACTTCGACGCCTGTAGAAGCATCCCTCGGTGGTGCAGCATCCTTTGGGAATCCCTCCAGCCCAGAAGGCCTCGTCTGCAGGAGGTGGTGACCCTCGTGGACTGTAAGAAAATGTCCCTAAAAAGCCCTTTACCTCCCTCACAAGGCAGCCTCTGGGCTGTCCCACACCCAGCCCGTTTGGTTCAGACTCCCACCTGCACGGCTCCTGCCCCAGAACGGCTCGTGGCCCTGAGGAGAGGGGAGGATTTTCCAAGCTTGGCCCCAAACCATGCGAGTCCTGGAGCAACTGTGCAGGGTTCATTCAGAACTCTCGCAGTGCCCGTGAAGGACATCTGTGCATCGTGGCTGCCCTCTGCGTTTTGCATTTGCTCCACTGCTCCTAGACCACGCGCTCAGGCTTCTCCTCCACGCTCGTGTCAGCGAGGGCCTCGCCCCGCACGTGGAAGGGGGAATCATAGCATAGCACAGCATGGTTTGGGTTGGAAGGGACCTTAAATATCATCTGGTTCCAACCCCCCTGCCATGAGCAGGGACATCTTCCACCAGCCCAGGCTGCTCAGAGCTCCATCCAACCTGGCCTTGAACACTACCAGGGAGCTATGCTTCTTGCACATCACGGGACTCCACGAGCTGAGCGATTACGAAAAACCACCAAATAATACAGGATTGGCAGCAAAAGCTCACAACGCTGCAGTTACCTGCTTATCACTCTCTTCGTTTTCTGTTTTCTCTCCTACACACTTCAAAATATTCTGACTTTGAAACATCCCACAGCAGCACGTCCCCGTCCCTCCGGGCAGCTCCCCTGGGAGCCTGGCACATCTGGGGCCACGGCTCGCCCAGATGCTCAGTGAAAGCTCTCCTCTCCTTCTCACAACTTCCAAAAGTTTCACACAGCCACGCCGGGATCCGGCACCGCCATCCGAGCAGCCGCAGCAGCCCCGAAATGTGGGAAGAACAAGACCGATTTTGCCACGTGAGAGCAAAAACTGTCGCTGTTGGGGCCGCCGGGCGCCAGCGTTGCTGGGTCCGTGGCTCACGCGGTGCCACCGGGAACTGGGAAAATCCACGCAAAATCGAAGCGAATAAAAAGCCCCCCACCCAAGCTGGGAGTTTCCCCACGGTTCCCCGCTTTGTCTCCATTGCGGGGAAAGAGCTTTACAGAATCACAGACTCCCAGCGTGGTGGGGGTTGGCAGGGACCTCTGGGGTCACCCAGCCCAACCCCCTGCCCAAGCAGGGTCACCCAGAGCAGGGGGCACAGCACCGCGGC